AATCAAAAATCGTTTAATCACGTAGGAAATTTTAGCCGCTAAAAATACTTCAAGTTTTTTGTATTCATATTTTTTTCCTACCGTTCAGTTCAGTATATAGATTCAATAACAGTATATCAGTACTCATAACACCAGCTCTGCTTAGCTAAGATCTAGATGGCGCTGTGTGAATTGTCCTGAGATATTATTAATATTAATATTATAATAAATTAATATTCAAATTATAATGTCGTACCTTATTTTCTTTGTTACAGTCATGTCTCTATCATACCACATTTTACTGCATAGGGGACGGGGCATATATTAATTAGGGTAAAGCATTTAGAGATGGCGTGAGATAATAGTGTTGAATCTATCTAAAATAAACTTTATATTTTAAGTACCTACTTTCGAAAATAAAACGATTGAATGATACTTATCGTAATTAGGTTTGATAACACTTTGTGGAACAGAATATATTTATTTGTAATAGCTGACTAGTACCTTCGTCTGCACACTTGTCATTTATGAATATATGTCACGTTATGTAAATTAAATGAAATATTTTCAAATTATAGCCCATGTGTTAATTTGAGCTTATACAGCTATACTTTGATGTAAAAGCTATATTACTCTGAATTTTCTTCAAAATCCGTTCAGTAATTTTTGCGTAAAATGTAACAAACATTCATTCACGCATACTCAAAAATATTCGCGTTTATAATATTAGTAAAAAGTACGTTTTTTTTATTAATAATGGGATTGCGCTTGATTTTACCTCGTCTTATGATAAATGATGGCAAGACCTATGAGATGTAACGCGCTTACCCAGAAGATATCTACTCACCTAGACTTGAAGAATCCGGAGTTGTATTTCTCCGGGAACAAAAAAGTAGTAAGTTAAATATATATTCCAATAAACGCGTTTTCTTGTTAGTAATATTGAAGATATAAAGTGGAAGCAACATTTTAGACGCCACGCTACAACGCGCTAATCATGCCTATCTCATTATTTCGAGGCGTAAGTAATTTTATTCTAATTGTACGAGTACGAATTTAGTATATATGACGTACTGTCGGTACTGTTAGCGGTAATTTGACGAATATTTCTTACGTTACTTTTCTCATCACTTATTTCTTAATTTATCTTATTACATAATGATCTAATTTTAATAGATCTAGAATATTTAATAATCCAATTTTGTTGTTTTTTTTATGTATTTCGAATAAATGTATTTATGTATTAGTGGCGTCACATGATGAAGTAATGTCCGTGGCGCTCTTCATGTATATAGGCAATGGTTGCCACTTACCACTAGATCTTGTTTGCCATAAGAGAAACTTGGCATTCTATGGATTCACCGTGCGGAAGCTGGTTTCATCGTGTGGCAGAGAGGGAAACTCCCAGTTCCTGGAATTTGTGACCCCAGTGTAGGTTTAAGGGAGGCCCGGGCCCATTAAACACTTTTTCACTTTACACCCAGATCACAAGTCCCGAGACAACTACGTTAAAACTCACCTTCCTACTTTAGTTTACACCTTAGAGACTTTAGTTTCACTTACTAAGGTTAGTTTAAAAAGATTGTAATTTGCTAGTATGTCACGTAAATCTTATTTATACGTAGTTTTAGTGTCTATAAGTGCACATAAAAATGTAATTTTCTTTAACGAAACAAATTAAGTAAAAGGTTATTAAAATAACCGAAATCAGTTAGTAACCCAACAATTAACTAGTTAACGTGTTTACGTTACGTAACTTCTGGTTCATTACTAGTTTATTACCATTAGTGGTGTTCCCATATAGAGATTGATTGGTTCATAAAAACCATAATTGCCAACATGCTTTGGAAGTAAGGCTCGGCGTATATTACAACATAAATAGGTTTTTGTTGTCTTAGTAAAGCGTATAGATTTAACTTTGACGAACTTGGTGGTCTAGCTGTTTAATAGGTACACCACTTTACTTCGGATGGGCGCTGGTTCAATTCCTCGCTATGTATTAGTTTGGTTGTTTTCTATGTATCTATATTACGTACGTATTTACAAAAAAAAATAAGTATTTCTATCAGTTGTCTAGTACCGATTACACAATATTGGGATTAGAGGTATTGCGTAAATTGCCCAGGGTTATAGTTATAATTAGTTTTTTCCTGTTTCATGAAATGATTTCATGATATCTTTATATTTTAGGTAACTAGAACAGTAAGTTATCTGACGACCCATTTGATTGCAATTAATAAGTAAGTTAAATATATTAACAGCATATTAGACATTACAAACACCTGTGTTATCTGTAGTCTTACCCATTCGTTACCATTCCCGAAAACTAAGGTATTACGCTACAATACACCATAATTTTACTGCCATATCTCACCCTTCAAGCCAAAACACTATTTACAAAAGATACTTTTAACAACTGACGATCGAGAATATTTATTGGAACCAAATAAAAACAAGTATATTCGAAATTTCGATTCATATAAAAAAACGTACATCTGACAATTTAAAAAGTAACATGAATCACCAATTACTTAAATGTGTGTGAGGCTTTAGACGATTTTTATTAACGCATTCCATTTGAAATGAGTCGGGTTACGGTGATCAGCACAGTGGGATGTTTCGTAAGCGATAGCGTATCGATTCTCGATCAATACAACCTACCGTTGTTTTTAATAAGTAGGTATGTGACTAATAAAGTTATATTTTTTTTTTTTTTGTGTATGATAATGGAATGGTGCACCCACCTGCGCTAACGGTTTACGCTGGCGGGGCATTATTTTGTTTAATTCCACTACCATTATCTTTGAGACGATGATCTCAAATGTTTTGTGCGGAAACCTGATCACCGCTACTGGCTAGATTAGTGTGAAGATCAGAACCTACTTGTAGGATAATTATTATCATATATAGTTTTTAAAGTGCTTTATTTATTACTGGCTGCACCCGCGACTTCGTCCGCGTGGAATTTAACTTTATTTTTCTAAATTAAAAGTAGCCTTTCAGCTACCTGCCAATAAAAATCCCATTAAAATCGGTCTAGCCAGATTAGCTGAAGCAAACAGACAGACAGACAGACAAAAATTGTAAAAAAAAATAATTTGGTGTATGTACCTTATTTATATTCATATGCATGTAGTAAATAATTGTTATTTCAAAGTTACAAACAGACACTCCAATTTTATTTATATGTATAGATGTAGGCGTTTTTTTATATATAGGTAAAAGGTAAAAAAAACAAATGCCAAGTCATTTATTAGCTCATTTTGGTGTTGAAAATTTACATTTGTTGAAAAATGGTAACACTACGGTACGCCATTAGAAAGAAAGAAAGAAAGAAATATTTTATTCAGTGCAATGTAAAAAATACAATATAAACAACAAACGGAAAAAAAAGAGCAAATAAAATGTACATATAATTAAACTTAATTTACCATAATTAAAAAATAAACATAAAATAAACATTTTTTACATCCATTACATTATTATCATAAAAAAACACAAGTCTTCTGCTCGTTCTTCTTGTGATGAGTTTGATTTCCAAAAGAATAGTAGAATAAAAAAAATATTGCTATTCAGAAGCACACATATTAATATTTTTTAAATAAAGAACATTCCTATTTGAACTTTTTTTCATTTCATTTATACAGTAGGTGTATAGGTAAAACCATTTGTCCAACAGCACGACAAAAATATGACATAAAAAATAGTTACCTACCTACATACTGCAAAAATTACAAAATATCGGGCTTCATTTTGGGACAGGAGTCGACCGCAGCAGTATGCTTTGTTTACCGTCTGGCAACCCATTCGCGCGTAAAGTGTAGCCATTTTTGTTTGCATTGCAAACAGAAAAACCGGGGCATTCGGAATACGCGAGTCAAACAAACAGAAGCCATTTTAAAAATCATATTTTAAAAATCTACATACGTTTCCAATTCCATTTAGTGTATTTATTTAAAAATAGTATACTTATACATATTTAAAATGAAGGGTCTATGTATAATAAAGATTTTTGTGGATAAAGTCATTGGCATTTTAAATATATATATATATATACCTAATTAAAAATAATAATATAGAGACCACTCCGATATATGTTTAATTTTTTGGAATTATAAATTCAAAGAATTGGCACTAAAACATTAAAATATTGTCTGTTCTCAGATGCAATTAAATAAGCCAGGTACAATTACGCATTTTAATATTAATGAACTTATTATCTTCTATTGATATGAGATTAACGCCTACTTTATTTTTATTAATACTCTCTTTCCTAAGGTTGTCTGGATGAGATTGCGTTAGAGATAAAACTGCCTTCTGTACCTTTTTCTTTCTTTAATCTATTCTTATATTTTTCAATGTATTTGCTTTAATTGTTATAGAAAAAAAAAACTATTTGAATTTTTTATTTATAATTAGTTGAAAACCTAAAAAAAAATCTTCTGACAGTAATCATATCCGTTGAGTAGTTATACTATAATAAAGGAAGATACAATTTCAATAATGTATCTTCCTTTGTGGCCTTCCTTCCTTGTTCCTTTATTTTCCTGTCAATATTCTGGTACACACGTTTGAAATATTTTTAATAAATTATTAAGAATTCTATGAAATTGTATTTAAATATGGTCGTTTTAGAATAACAAAAATTGATAAATTGAGCATTGTCTAATAAAATAAAGCAAATCCGACACTAACACTTACGAATTATCCTAACATTAATATCAAATTTGCTAAACGCAAAAACTCGTTTTTATTCATATCCACAATCTCTTTCTTTTTGTTTACTTTCAACTGTTCTATTCGATACTCAGTTTCATCGTCTCCTTTCTCTCTTCCACTCTTCTTTTTCTTTCAACCATAATTTTTTTCATATATTTCTAATAAATTTCACAGGAAGGATGTCAAAATCCTATCACTGGTTTAATTAACAATCAATAAAAAGCTAAACTTGATTTATGAAAACACCAATCCCACAAGAACACAGGTGTACATGCATCTACGATAAAAGAAATAGTACTTACCAGCAAAAGGCACATCGCACACGTACTCTTCCACGCAGTTGTCCGTGTTACCACTTCTGTCTGTGGCACCACTAGCAACCGACGCGGCGGACGCTGCTCGAAGTAAACTCACCTCGGTCTCCGTCTGACTGTCCCGAAGGACAGATCTTCTCTTGTACTCCTGTAAAGAGATACATATGTTACAAATTTGAGACTAACTTAAACGAAAAAACACCTCGTTTGGTTGATATCTGCTTTTCAGATTACTCTATAGATAGCCTTCTCAGCCAGACATATACAAAAGTAAGTGCCAAGGACATATGTCTAGTCTACTCCTTCGAAAACGAGAATTTATTAGATATTAGAAACTTGTTAAGCAGTTGTGATTATAATAATATATAAATTATAGAAAAATTAGGAGAATTATTTTGTCCAAAGAGATAAAATGCTGATACTATCTCATCGATTACCTGTCCCATTCCAACGGTGTTCGAAATTTTGACAGCCTGAGCAAAAGTTCGAACCCCTAGAGGTGACGTAAGAATAAAATCGAATCTTTCTGGCAGGAGTTGTCATTCAGCCGCTCCGTAAGTCCTTCTGCGGATTTATATTACCCTATGCATTCAGCCCCATATTCATCATAAGGCCAGCAGCCAATGGTATTAGCATAGTTTAAAATAAGGCACATCTCGCATGTTCATTCAATATTTTTCGTATATGCTCGATACTTGGAGCGCCCATGCACAACTAATTGTAGACGGTTTTACTTAGTTTAATTGATAATACTGTACCTATTACTTTCAGAATCTTTCAGCATGTTACGTAGGTGCTATTTCAATTGAATTCGATTTGCAATACCTAATAAATATCCGATGAGCCGTATGGTTGTTTGCCACCACTGTAGTAAAAAAAATCGGTATACCGGTTCCAAAGACAAAATTATTTCCCTCCCAAAATAACGCATTCTATGAAAGCTCTTTACTCATATACGCATACTTTGCTCTCTACTCCTGAGATTATTTGTCAACAGTTGACAAATAATTTCTAGAGTCATCTAAGGATCTCTAGAGTCGAATTTGTCGGAGTCGGATCTTGTCGAACCTACATGTAGGACTGTTTGTTAGGATTCAACAAATGTGGTCATCGGTCAGGTGCCAAATTGTGATGACTATCCACTCTAGTTCTACAAGCACAATAATAATAATAAGAATAAAATTTTAATTTATTCATAAAAGAAATAATAAACCAATTTTACATATTAAACTGTGGAATATTAATTTCAAGTTTTTTCTCTACACTCATTGTTAACTTGGTAGGTAACGTCGCAAGAGGCCCGCTATAAGTAGATACATTTTATTTTTGTACATTGTCGATTGTCGTTCAATCTTACTAATGTATTATAAACGGTAAAGTTTTTGGATGGAAGGATTTTAATGAAATTTTACAGCAATATACCTTATACATCAGTATAAGATATATTGCACATAGGTTATAAATTTCATGTGATAAAACCGCGGGCACAACTAGATAATAATAATAAACGCTCCAAATGTTAAAATGGACTAAGTTTTTGTGTATAAGGCCGCCTAACTATTAATAAAAATCGCTTGACTACATACAAAAATATTATTATTTTGATTTATTATTTATCTAAACGCACATCTTTAACCTATAATAATATTTTATTACTATAAACAGTTTATTAAAATAAATAGGTTACTACCTAGTTAAGAAGCTATAAAATCTTGCCCTCAATAGATTGTCTGGCCATACTGTTTGTTTAAACGATTTGGATATATAATTAATGGAATCCATACTTATAAATGCGAAAGTATATCCGCCTGTCTACATGTTGTCTTTTCACGACATGGATATTAATGAAATTTGATGTGAATATAGATGAATAGAGAAATATAGAATAAAAGATAATAAATAACCCTGGACAATTAACACAGCAGCACAATTAGTCTTACGGTAGGTAGAGCGCGTGTTATGGATACTAAACAATTGATATAAATACTTAGATATTTTTTTGTAAATACATACATAATATACATACATAGAAAACACCCAGACCGATCATAGTCTTGAACACAAATGTTTGCATGGTGCGAGGAATCAAACTCGCGACCATCGAACCACCGAGGCCGTCAAATCACAAAGTTTGTATCACGAGAACGGACATAGGGTATATTTTATGGATCGTGGGTAAAACCTAATAATAATGGTAATGAATTATTTAAAACTGTAACAGAAAATAGCCTGAATATACGGAATCAAATATTATTAGAGATAAATCATTACATAGTATAAAACAAAGTAGCTCTCGTAGTCTGTCTGTCCATATGTATGCTTAAATCTTTTTAAAGCGGTTTTTTTAAATAGAAAGAGTGAGTCAAGAGGAAGATTTATATCTGTGTACACCCGTGCGAAGTCGGGTCGAGTAGGTAGTAAAGAAATAAATCACTTCTATGTACAGTGTTTTTTTAAGACTGAAAGGAAAATTGTTGTGAGATCAATTGGTGGAAAGCAGTACCTTTTTATAAACATAAACATTCTTCATCACATGCAAGTGTTACCTACCCTTCTTCCGTTGGCATTTCTGAGGACTTATTTTATGTACTTCTCGTACATCCAGAAATTACCTATCTTGCGTCTCAGTATTTAAATCGTGACACAATACGAAGCAAGCTGTTTCGCAGCAAAAGCAAGATAGAAACCTAACCACACTTTTACAGGATATCTATAATATAGGTCGTCAGTTTGTTCATTATTCCAAACGTATAGATATGGTGTTTTATTATATTTCCTGAAGTGTACAATTTACTAGCAAATATGAATATAACGCACGTTGCTATATCAATTTTGTAAGGCGTTCGAAGAAGCACAAGCATTACGACTGATAGAAGTGAACATTGGGTCGATCTAAAAATTAACATAAATTTAATATTAATAAATCTTTTCAATACCAGAAACATGTAGTATTCACTGAAGCTTACATTAGAAATGATTAAATTGAAAATTTCAATTTAATCATTTATAATGTAACCATGTCAAATATGCAGTTATTAAATACTGAATTGAATTATTAATTACAATATAGAATTTACTAAGTTATAGCTTATTAACTTAGTAAATAGGGTTAACACAAATAATTTTATGGTAAATCAAAGTATTTACCTGCCTTGATGTTTGCACTAGGTTGCTGCAGGTGTGGTCACGAATTACTGGAGTACCTACAGAGTATACTAGTCTGGTGGTGTCCTAGATACGTCCGATACGTCATTTCTCAATTGGAGTGGCAAATAAACTCTACTTATACCTGGTGGTAAAAAGCAACTACCGTCTCTGCTGTATCTCAGTCTTTAATAGAAACACATCTAATAAATTCAGATAATTGACAACTAACATAACTGAAACAGAGGTAAAGAAGCATTCAACATTGTACAGTCTAGCACTTTTAAGATAGTATGGTACATTAATAACTTTTTATATCTACTAAATTTTCGAATATACATTTTCTTTTGACATTTTATTATAAATAAAATAATATAATAATAATATCATTATGATAAATATATTTATAAACTTATTAATAACAATAATTTAAATTTGCAAGCTCAAAATGTAGCTGAATATGGAACTAAGTATGTACTTGTTTCTTAGAACATTGTAACCTATTTAAAGTAAATAAATAACGTATTGAATGTCATCAATATCTTATCAGACCATAGAATTGATTTTTCCCAACATAATAATAATAGAAGATACCGAAAACAGGTTTTTAGGCATTTTTTATTGCGGGCGTTTGCGCTTTTGGCAGGTGCTTGGACCTGTAGCACTATCTATTGTTCTCGCCCTTTTTCTCAGAGTTCACTACCTAGACCCGAGTCAGGGACAAAATTTGTAGAATATTCTTAGGAGCGATGGTTTTAAAATTGGCAAACTTTCCAAAGAAGATATTTTGTTTATAGGACAACCACACAGAATGTGTAGTTGTTTCCTCTTCAGCTTGGTAAAGTCTGCAGATTTTTCTTGTGTTGTCAGGAAACACTTAACAAAAGATATTAAAATTACTTGGTCAGTGTGAAACGAAACTCTACATTATGATAGCGAATAATTTAGAGAACAAAAAATTAATAAATAAATACAAGTATTATTCAAAAGAGCATAAGAATGTATTTAACACTAACAAAAAGTTAGCAAGTCTTATTATTCAATAAATGTATCAATTTAGCTAATAGCCTGTACATGCGTAAAAATTGATACTTTATGGACATTTAAAGATTGATAATTACTCCTCTGTTGGGTCGGTAGCGAGTTACATAAACATATATTATAAATATATTTGACGGTCTCATTGGTGTACCGTTTTACTTCCGATGGTTGCGGGTTCGATGCACGGTACAAACATTTATTTTCATGAGTATGACGTTTGTATCAGTCTTGGTATTTTCATTGTACGTATTTATATCCGATGACTCCAAAACAAGTTCTGCTTAACTTAGGGCTAAATGATGCTGCGTGAATTGTCCCGAGATATTATTATTATTGTTAATAATATTAAGGATCTATGTTAGTTAATTAATTAATAATACCTAAAAATATATTAAGTACTTACAAATTTACAAGGATTGCATAAAATAATAATTAAAATGTATGGACGGTGTGGAGCTGTATAGACAAGTGATGTATATTATACAAGTTATAATTTTGTAGCAGAAAAATATAATGTCTGCCTCGTCTGTAAGCAGCCAGTCGTCGTGAGTAAAGCTAAAAATATGTACAACTAGCTTAAGCTACTTGGTTGAAAAAAGGTGATGATGTGAAATTATTATTATTATTATTACTATACTGTACACAAGGTATATCAGAAGTTTGTATACAAAATTTTGTGTTTATAACGTTAGAATTAACTAATTTCTATAAACCCTTATTTTACCCACATAGTTACCCGAAATATCAATTTTTCAAAAATCCTTCCTTTCCTTTTTTTCATCATAAATTTCAGGAACTGGAAAATATTTCAAGATTCTAACAGTTGTGATGTCGGCTGTGTTGATGTATCAGTCAGGACAAACAATTTTATATATAGAGAGGAGGGAGAAATTATTGAGTCCATTACAATCCTACCATATGCTGTCCAGCTTCACGGGAACGCCTCTGTTATTCATAGGCTGAAATGTGCTGAATTCGCATCGACGAACTTGGATTCCGTTTTGTCCATAAAGATAATAAATAATGAAGTATCGTTACGATCAGGATCCCTATTCCAGTATCATACAGAAAATTAAGTAAATTATTCATAGAGTAACAGACAGTTATATCTATTGTCTTAAATTATGTTATTTATAACGGATTTGGATAATAGAACAAGTATTTACAGATCCCGTTATAACTCTATCAGACCACTACATTAAGTAATAGAAAAAGCTTTTTAAAAATCTTTATAAAAAAAACAAATAAAAAGTAATAAAATCAAACAAAACAAAATCACATAAGTAGTTTATTACTTAACAAAATAAAAATAATACAAGAAATTTCTTAAGTATAAAATTAATATAAAAGAAATTCTATGGGTTGATATATTTTAAAATACATTTCACTAACATTCAGTCTAATTGTTGTCTTTTAATTCATATCTATTATTTATTCCTATTGTTAATGGTTTATCGACGTAAAAAATATGGTTTTTATATATCGATGACATGGGAAATGACGCGATTATGGTACGACTGGTAAAATATAATAATTTAACTTTAATTTTCAAATGTCACGTGACAACGGCCCTTTCAACCTGCTACACAAACAGTACACATTAAAAAAGAATGAGACAGCAGATGGTGCTGTCCCGTTCTATCTCGTGTGTGCTTTACCTGCATAACAACTACAAATCTCTAATACTAGACGTTTTATCTTTACAAAACAATTAAACGATATACGTAAAATTAATGAACTGGATACTGTCATGTCGGTAAATATAATAGTTAATTTTAAAAATGCTCATTTTATCTGGATATTTAAGAGAAATGCAACTAAAACCTATCTCTCAAATTATAAATACTATTATATAACAAAAGAAACATCAAGTTTGGTTCTATTTTAAAAATTGAGGAGACTGAAGTATACTATCTTCATTTACCCTGTCACAATAAAATCTTTTAAACTTACTTAGAAAATGTTAATCTAAATTCTCAACCAACTATGATTTCAACCGCAAGATAAAATTATTTACCAAATTAGAATTATTCTGATTACCACATCCATAATGGTCAATTAAATACAAATGGCAGTTAAATTAACAATATCAAAATATATAATTCTAATTTAGTAATTAGCAAATCATTGTCATGTTAATACATACAATTTGCGTTCACTAAATAATATACAGTCACTTCAATTTTTATAGAACAAGTTTAAACCAAGGGTAAATAAAATTTCTTTTGGTACTATTTTTTTTAAATAAAAAATAAAATAAATGATTATAATACAAAAAAGAGCCATTAAATACTAATTAGGTATATAGCACCTTATGAATACGATTACAAATAAACTATATATGTATGACAACGCAGATATATTCTTAAATCGACCACATAATAAGAGCACCATAAAGCAAACATAAAAACATAAGGACTAGCTAAATATATAACTTAAACATAACGTAAACAATACAGGCAACTTTTGTACAGAAACATTTGTATCAACTATTTTTATTAGTCTCTGTTATATCACCCTGCGATTTTTTTCTAACTCTTATCTCTTCTACAACTTCCATTATTAGCTGAAATAGTTAAAGAAACATAAATAAAATCGTAATTTATATGCAAATGATAATATTAAAACAGGCTCATGCAAAAAAATATGCAATTAATTCCAAAGCGACGAATTACAAATTTTTTATTTGAATACAGCGTGATTGTTTTCACAGGTGATATTTTTAAACGATGAACATTTTAATATACCTACACTCTTCAATAAATTTATTTTTCGCTATAGGAATAATTAAAAAGTGCTTTTTGAATGTAAACAGAGGTTTATAAAAAATGCATGCAATTTTATACGAAAATTTAATATTATGCAATTCGATTTTAAAATCGTGTTCCAATTATTTGCCAGGTGTACAGATTTCACTTAGATAGTACATTGCAATTTTCAATATGTGCATTGTGCGCTTAGAACAATTAACTTAGTTTGTAACGCATAGCTACTTACTAATACTTAATGCCAAGACTACTTGTAAAATAAACGTCAATCAGGACTAACCTGACTTAAGGGCCTGATCCGTTCGTGGATGCTGTTCTCTGCTTGTTTGGCAGATGGGGGCGGATGGTCGGGCGTAGGCGGCTGGTCGTAATGCGTCGGCGACAACGGCAACTCGACTCTCTGCCCATCGTAATACCGTTCACAATCGCTCGGGCTATTCATCGACTGATCGTCTAACAAGCTCTCTAGTGACGACCGTTCCTGATTCGAATACTTCCTCACTCTGTTATCGTTCATTCTTGGTTCATAGTTCTCGTACGGGGGTGCGAAGTTGTTTCTTCTCAATTTCCGTCGGGGATTCTGTTCCTTTATAACAACATTCTCGTACATAGCCGTGATAGCGACGGGTTGGGAACGATTTTTGAGGCTCGACCGAGGATTGGGGACAGGCACTATTCGTGGGGAATGGTTATCTTCATACTCTGAGTAGGAGAGTTTACCATCGACATATTGGTCTACCGACCGGCCGTGTTTGAGGTAGTGTTTGCTGCCCTGTAACAATGAAATGGGAATTTTCTAGAACTAGTACTAATTTATTTTGCGCTTCTTGTGGGAGTCCCCCAAGCTCTCATAAATATGACTAACTTATTTTGTTACTCAAATAACTTTTTATTTACTTATAACAATATTGTTATATACACATTTACACGAAACCTTAAAAATGCAATACCGAATTAAATTAAAAAGAGCAAGCAGACGCAAGTTTCTTTATCGTTCATCTCGTGACGAGTCTGCGTTTCCAATGAGTGGTAGAATAAAAACAATATGACTACTCAAAACTACGTATATTAAATTTATTTGATTAAAGAATAATTCTATTCTTATGATATCATATTTCTACAAGACCTTAGGTAAAAATGGGATTTAATTTTAAGTTTAAGATTTAATTTTAATTTGGTCTTCCAGAATGGCAATGCATTTGCTACCACTGACCGTTGCCACGGACGCCACATGATTGAGGCAAAGGTTGCCACTGATCATCGTGTGGGTCGTTACGACGTTCGCCAGTCCAATTACATAAAAAAAATTCTAGCATCTGTCATAGGTGAATTTTAATTGTTCAATTGAAAGAACATTCAACCGTCTCTGATTTTAACTATACCTACATATTATTACAATATAATCACTTTTCTCCTGTTTTAATACTAAATAAATGTGACCATTAGTGATCTGATTTCAGTTTTTATTTAAGAAAATGTACTTGTATGTATCCAAGAGCGGTTTTTTTTATATTTTTTTATAGATGATAATGGAATAGTGCTCCCACCTGCGCTAACGGTTTACGCTGGCGGGGCACCAGTGGAGAATGATAAGATGAGGATGAAGTCAGGTCAGTTAGCCCGTCGTGATAAATTCATCAAGATTTATCAAGATGGTTTCCAGGGTGAACCGCGTGGAGGTCAACCTGACATGGCACATTGCTAGCAATAAGATCATTAGTCCACACTACTAACAATCCCCTTTCTCACTCAAAAAACTCACAAAACTTGCACTATCTCTTTATAACAGTATTATATAATGAAAACAGATGGACGAAATAATAAACGTATTATTTTTGATCGTAAGAAATTGTGACTAGTGCTCGAAGAAGACTAAAAACGATTGCCACCCACGAGTTTTGTAAGGGATTTTCGTAATGTGTATACAAATATGTACATCTCTTTCCGTTAAAAATTCATAATAAGTTTATTATTTCTTACTTCCATTAATTTCGATTCCATTATTCCCTTCGTTACGGTTAATGATTGAGTAAAAGTGTAAACAAATATTATTATTAACATCCACGGTGGTCTAGCAGTTTACTATACATTGCTCTACTTTCCGATGATCGCGAATTCGATTTCCCCACAATACAAACATTTATATTAATGAGAAATTCCCTTTGTATTGATCCGGATTCTACTACGAAAGAACTTACAATAAAATAGTATTTCAGTGTGTCTAACATTTGTCCAGTATCCATATTACAAACACTAGTTAATATAAGTCTAGATGGCACTGTGTGAGACTATCTACTTAATTTCACGTCATATACCTAAGTAGATACATAATTATACAGAAATATGTTGTCTATAAATAAACATTATTGTCTTCAGACACCTCCGTTCTCTCAACTCTATTGTGTCTTATGTAATTGGAATGTTAACTCGTGATGGTAAGTGGTAACATTCTCCTAAAAACGTCCAAGATATAATACGTCTCATCCTGTTATTTCCGTCTTTACTAACTCTACAACCTAAACTAGTAAGCTGTCTATGCAAGATGCTTGGTGGCTTAAATAAGTGAGAATAGGGTACCCAGGGAGGAATGGTGGCTTAAATAAGTGAGAATAGGGTACCCAGGGAGGAAAGGGATTGTTAGTAATGTGGACTGATGACACGTTGTATGCATTGGTAGCAATGTACCATGTCAGGTTGACCACCACGATTCACGGTTCCCCCTGGAAACCGTCATGATAAATTTCTGGTAAATTTGTTACGATGGGCTAACTGACTTGACCTCATGATCATCTAATCATCCTCCACTGCCAGCAGACGGGTGCGTCATTCCAGTATCATATATAATAATATGTACCCACACAAACATGATTTTATAGCCTACCTCGGTACATCTATTTATATCGTCTCTTACATACCTATAACTAAGGTAGTGACTTCACTACTTCTTCGTTTTCGATTCCTCTAAGCTGAGTTGAAACCACAAAGACCACTTCTTCCAACCAATACTCTCCAGGCATCTCTATCCTGTGGCAGGTTTCTCTACTACTAATATGTAAAAGACGACTTAAATAAATGTGAGACTAGTTCTTCACCCTCACCTGTATGTCATCCAAATCGTCCTGACTTCTCGCGTGTGGCCGCAGTTCATAACTGTACCCAGAAGAGGGCGAGTTGGCATGCGTCGGTGATACTGACAAGTTACGACGCGGAGGCTTCTTCGGGGGAGTGGGCTGTAGAGAGGAAATTACGAATTAAAAGTTCTATTTATTAACCAAATATATTTATTAATGGATGATAGATAGTACATCCAACGGAATACGCTGGCAGATCACAGATGAAGGATGGTAGCATAAAGAAGGAAGTCAAATAGAACATCGTGACGAATTCACTAGGAATTAAGTGCCACCTTACTTCCCAGGAACGCGAGAACATTAACCTTTTATGGTACAATTACTAACTAAAATGGGCCCACTAGTCCTTACAAACAGTCCCTTCCCCTCTAACATACATTACATAATAGAGACATGTAAACAGTTGCATTCCAAATAATAAACATTTTTATAAAAAAAATATATAAAATGTTTTTATGCACTCAATAATAATATAGAATATCAAGTATACAAACTATTCATATAACAATAAATTCGAAGCCTTCCATACAAAATAGATCACGTGACCGCGCAGTTTGTATAAAAGGTACAATATTTATTTTCTAATTTTCACTTTGCACAAACATTATGCAGTATCACGAATACTATCACTGTCTTTTGACTTCGACTAATATTATATAGGTACCTGTTCGTATGATAGACGAATTACGTGACATCACGCTAATAATTGTAGGCGGATTCTGAATAGATTTCTATTTTTGGCTCATCTGTTTGTCGCTGTAGGAGCGAGATAAGTGGCCGCAATTGAATAATAGGGAATTGGATGAATGCGAGGATAAAATTAAGACACGAGGTCTGTAGGAGGTGAAAGCGGACTATTCTGCAAGGACGTTTACAAGTAACGATTCAAGACTTACGTATTTAAAAAATTGTGTAGAAACAGAAATTCTTCATTTGAATAAATTTCTTTACAGCTAAAGAGCAGGGATAGGAAACTTGGCTATTTTAAATTTAAGGTTTCTTGTGAATATAATAACTACATAGTAATCATAAGAGTCAAAATAATATTGAATATTTTTTCATACTACGATGATGACAAACAAGCATACGGCCCATCTAATGGTAAACGAGTACCGTAGCCTATGGAAGACTAAAACACAAGGGCAATCACGTGCGCGCAGCTGACCCTTAAGAAATCTTAATATACTATTCTTGAAAAACCCAATACAATTGTTAGGATGATATGATGAAACTCACGCCCTCCCTTATAATATTCCTCGAATATTCGTGATAATATTAAAAACCACTGAACGGATTTTCATTGTAGTTTTCATCCTGGCTGACTTTTAAGGAAGGGTTGTAGGTGTATAATTCGTTAAAGATTTTGTAAATTGGAATACATTAAGTAAATTAATTGCCATTTAATAGTAATATTAAGTAATAATAAGACATAATGCAACAGTACAGATACAACATTTAATAATTTTCTGTTGCTCTGACTGACTTTTGATGTAGTTTAACATATATAAAAAAAAAATCAAGCTGCAATGACCATTTTATATTGGCATCATAATTTTTAAAATAATTGGGGCACTTTATTACATTGAAGCTATATTGTCCAGCTGCGCGGAGAACAGAATAGTTCGTACATTTACAATTGCCTTTAATCTCTCTTAACTTGTACCATACAGTATGGTCCAAGTGGGCAAGTGATTCAATAGAGGGTCTCGGATGAGGGGTAAATTGGTTGCAGCCGGTCACTGAATGGACAATTTTCTTCGTTTAATAGGCCTTTATGTACAAAATTGTACTATTACGGCCAATGAAATTATTATAGCACTCGGTGACTGAGAGTTTTAGAAAACCACAGTAATAAAATCAATTTAAATTTTCCTTAATTTATTGATAGTCTCGAGGATAGATTATATGACGCTTACCGATATAGACAACCTCCTATCTCAAAAAATGCAGACGAAGTCGCAGGTAACAAAGCTGGTACTCGTAAATTAGAGACTTTGATTTGTATCTTATATCAATTAATTAATATTGTATCTATTGTGATCTAATTTATTTTATTTTATTTGCAGTCTCGAATAACAAAATTAAACAATATTTTCAGGAGAGCACTGTTAATTCATGAGTATGATTGTTTGTATCGGTCTGAGTGTTTTCTATATATAATATGTATGTATTTACAAAAAAAAAATATCTATGTATTTGTATCAGTTATCTAGTACCCATGACACAAGCTTTAGCTAGCTTAACTTGGGTCTAGATGGCGCTGTGTGAATTGTCCTGAGATTATTAATATTTTTAATATTAATTATTCATGTTCAATTTTCACTTTTATTTCATTTTGTTTCTTTTATTATCTTCTTACCCAAAGTCTTGTATTGACTAGATTGACTAGCGATGAGACCACTTTCAAGGGTATTTAATAATAAATGTGCATGGAAGAAAGATGGATGGACTTTTTGAAAGATAATATGCATAAGTATATAGACAGTATGCTCGTATATGGCGACGGATAGGGATCAGTGGGAGAAATGACGTAAAGCGACGACCACTTCATTTGCAACCAACCTCAAACATGCCTACGAATTTATTGAATAAATGTTCATTTAAAAACTAATCAAAGTGTCAAGTTCAGTAGTTACATGAAATATACGAATAAATATAACCTCAAAACCGGCGACCGGGCATACCTGAACGTTTAAACTAGAATCCAGGAAATCCTGTGCGGATGGAATCACCTAACCACAACAATGTTCTAAGTTCGTAGTCAATACAAAGCGCATTTACGTAAGACTTCGCTTTTATGTTGGCCTATTTACAAGACATTCAAATGCATTGGCTTAAATAACAAGCTGAAGCGTATATATTAATATTTTTACAATATTTTATACGGTGTGTGAAATTACCATGAACGTTAGTAAGATACAGATATATATAGATAGAGATAGAGACAGATATCTCAAACTATTGCGATATCTTATTACACGTAAAAAATATTTGATTTAGTCAGTCCTAAAAACTACAATAATATATTTGTGTTTTCTATGGTCATAGATAATCAATACTTCAAATAATTTTAAAACCGGAACAATTATGTTTGACAGAAAATGTAGATGAGAATCTCCATTAAGATATAACGTGCCATTATTATTTTTAGCGTAAAATATGCAAAAAATAATAATGGCAGAGCATACGAAAAGTAGGTAGAATGAAAAATTGATAAAACAGATATCTGGTTTGTCAATATTTCATGCGTAGCAATACAATGGGTAGGATAGGCTTACATAGATTGATAGTTGTTTTCAGATAGGAAACTCATAATTCTTCGGAACCGGCGTGCATACATGATACTCGTAGTAATGAAAGTGAGTGATTTAATTCACTCACTTTCATTACTCTGATATTTAAAAAAATGGTAATTATATCTTTAGAATTTCATTATAATTAAAGTAAAGATTACACAAGTTTTACCTACTAAGACGATACTAAACTAAATACGAAATAATAGTGTATATAACAACGTTGAAATGAACACGTAACATTAACATGCATGAAAGCAATAAAATCACCCGCTTAAGTTTATGACTTGCAACATTATAATTTTCCGCTGTTATTAATAGACCAATGTAATTTCGCTTTAGAGTTTCCCAATGAATGAACTAATATTGGTATTTAAAATCTGTATATGCATTTATAGCGATACAGTATAAAGAACTTATAAACCTATTGTTTAATGCAAATTATTTTATTAAATATATTAAAATTCGAAAGACCACAGACTACATGACTAAGTACAGACAACACATGACTAAGTACAAAAGACCAAATAATAATTTTAATGTTTGTTTCTCCCTTTCACGTAGGTATATTTTACATTCCAAAGAAATAACAACAAAAGTTGTATTGATAATTACATTAAAACTTAAATTTAATCTAGCACTTACTGTTGTTAGTCCAGCAAAGTTTTAAATTAAACATGTTGAATTTTTTGGCTAAGCAACAGCAGATAATGAAAAATGAAAAGGACCTGTTTTGTGCAGATTTTTATTCTCCACAACATTTATTTAAAACATTTTTCATATTTCTTACCGTTATCGAGTTATTTTGAAAAAAAAAAGCGTTTTTTAATTTATTCATCCCTTTCCCGTCAAGTTAAATCAAAATTTATTTTTGAATGTTATTAATCATATATTTGCAGACTCATTTTTCTATATTGCGGCACAACTGGTCACATCATGTGTCATTTAAAATTTTACTGGACTATGTTGGAGTTTTTTTATATTAGTTGATTTGATGACGAATCCAACTCAGGAACAAAAACAAAAATTGAATATTATGTATTAAAGTGTACACTTTCTCAGTAATCTGCATTTATCCTTCCATTCACTGTTCGCTTTTTCCGACCACCAACGTCATCTTCTTAGCATATTAATCACATAGTAAACAAAGAGATACTCCGCTTTCATATTTCATTAATACACATACAAAAACTATTACAAAGAGCGCTTTTTAGGTGTTTCGCTGAAAACAAGACGAAGAACAAAGTTACATCAAAGGACTACTAGACATAAATTAGATGCGCCCGCGCACGTCACGCCATGACAGACGCATTAATATGGCGCCAACGGGCGAGCGCCATTGATTTGTGGCGGGAACGAGATATATTGACCGTGTCCGATTAAGTTTATTTAATTCAATAATGTCACGGTTATATTGAACGAACAGATAATACTAAAAATACACGAGTTTTATTGGTACGTCCATAACAATTAATGGATAAGTTCATAAATGTACGAACAGTTGAGATGTGGGTGGTTTCTTTTACAACGGTGGCATTCCAGTGTTACAACACATTATATTTTTACGATATCTTTGTATTTTTACATACACGTTTAGCAAACTGTAGAATTTTCTCTAAGTAACTTCATCAATAAGTGAGAATATTTACTCTCGTACAAAGAAAAATAATTAAGTTTTAAGTGTTTAATTTATTTATACATTATGCTATTGCTGATGATCCATTTAATTGTTTCTTAGATACCTTAAGCTACACATCATCATGAAATTTGGCCTATACTACATTTTACCTGAACATTATGATGAAG